AGCCACGACCAAATTGCTCTCGCCAGGTAGGTAGTCCTATTTCCTTTTGACCAAACCCAGATAACACCAAACCCTCCTAAAATTGTCCACCCCACACACTCTCTCCTCAAATTAATTTTGAACAAATGTGATTGAGAAAAAAGAGAATTCATTAAAAGGCAAATTTTCCTAAATGTGTAATAAAATTTAGAATAATAACATAAAAATCCTTGATAAGTAAAAGTAATATATTAGTTTTTTGAATTATTTATTTAATCTTTAAATTCCAATTATACATAAGCGTATGTACAAGTAGAACTGAAACCAACCCTAAATCATCGTATTTTTTCAAACAATAACATTTTTGGTTCATAGTTTAAAACTCAAATAAAGTAATAGAAATTAAATAATATTTAAAAAAAAACAAAGTAAATGCACCATTTAAAAGAGTAAGTTGGAGAGTTGTATAAGGTTTTGGCATTCTCCAAAGAGGTTGATGAAATAATCTTCCTTATCCTCATAAACAGATTAAAAAAAGAGAGAATTTAAGACTGCCTAGAATTCCTCTCATAAGATTAAACCAAATTCCTTTTTGAAATAGAAAGATAAAAGGTAGAAAACTAATCTCTGCTTGATAAAGAATAGACTCTTAATGGAGAGAAGAACATTAAGAGAATAACAGATGTCCTTAAAAAAATTAGGGATCATGACTTTAATACACAGAATTACTCTGGAGAAAATTATGAAGAATTTAAAAAGGATCTAATTAGAAAAATATCATTGGATAAGTAGATTATAGAATTCCTAAAATTTTTGGTCTATCTGACTGCTTTCGATGAGAAATATACCTAGTGTGCATCAAATTCTCTTAATTTACTAGTTTAAATGAAAGTGGATTTGAGGGAATAAAGTTTTGAGAATATCAGGATTAGAGATACCTCTATAGTTGGTGGAAATTTTGTAAGATGCAATTTCAATGGTTCAGAATTTGACAATGTGGATATTAGTGGCATTAACTTGAATTAAGCTGAAATGTTTAATTGTAAATGGAAAAATATCAAAATACATGAGTTAAATAAACTAGATGGTCATTGTGGAAGAGTTAATTAGATATGCTTTTCTCAAGATAGTAAATCATTAGCGTCTTGTAGTGATGATAACTCGATTATATTGTGGGATGTTAAAACTGGGAAAAAAATGTTCAGAATTAGGGGAACAGGGGATCTAAAATCAGTATGCTTCTCACCCAATAATAGTATATTAGCTTTCAGCAGTGGAGAATTTGTATATTTATGGAATTTTAAAAGAGGAAAATAAAAAGCCAGATTAGGATTAGAGGGTAATACTAAAAAAGTTATATCAATCAATTTATCTCCTGACGGTACTACATTAGCATCTAGTGGTGGATCTGAAAACGGTGGGGGAGAATATTCGATTCGTTTGTGGGATGTTAGGATAGGATAATAAAAAGCAAAATTAGATGGTCATTAAGATTTGATTAGATCAATTTGTTACTCTCCTGATGGTACTACATTAGCATCTGGTAGTTCAGATAAGTCTATCCGTTTATGGGATTATAAGACAGGATAATAAAAAGCTAATTTAAATGGTCATTCTGGAACAGTTTATTCAATTTGTTACTCTCCTGATGGTTCTACATTAGTATCTGGTAGTTTAGATAAATCTATTCGTTTATGGGATGTTAAGACATTATAATAAAAAGCAAAATTAGATAGTCATTAAGATTCGATTAGATCAATTTGTTACTCTCCTGATGGTACTACATTAGCATCTGGTAGTGGAGATAAGTCTATCCGTTTGTGGAATGTTAAGACAGGATAATAAAAAGCCAAATTAGATGGTCATTCATCAATTGTTACTTTTGTCAATTTCTCTCCAAATGGTAATACATTAGCATCTGGTAGTTCGGATAAGTCTATCCGTTTCTGGAATGTTAATACAGGATAATAAAAAGCCAAATTAGATGGTCATTCACATTATGTTACTTCTGTCAATTTCTCTCCTGATGGTACAACATTAGCATCTTGTAGTTGGGATAAGTCTATCCGTTTATGGGATGTTAAGATAGGATTTTAAAAAGTCAAATTAGATGGTCATTTAGGAACAGTTTATTCAATTTGTTACTCTTCTGATGGTACTACATTAGCATCTGGTAGTTCGGATAAGTCTATCCGTTTATGGGATATTAAGACAGGAGAATAAAAAGCCAAATTAGATGGTCATTCATCAATTGTTACTTCTGTCAATTTCTCTCCTGATGGTACTACATTAGCATCTAGTAGTTGGGATAAGTCTATCCGTTTATGGGATGTTAAGACAGGATAATAAAAAGCCAAATTAGATGGTCATTCACATTATGTTATGTCTGTCAATTTCTCTCCTGATGGAACTACATTAGCATCTAGTAGTTGGGATAAGTCTATCCGTTTATGGGATGTTAAGACAGGATAATAACAAGCCAAATTAGATGGTCATTCAGAAGCAGTTATATCAGTCAACTTCTCACCTGATAGTACTACATTAGCATCTGGTAGTAATGATAACTCTATCCGCTTTTGGGATGTTAAGACAGGATAATAAAAAGCCAAATTAGATGGTCATTCAGAAGCAGTTATATCAGTCAATTTCTCTCCTAATGGTACTACATTAGTATCTGGTAGTGGTGATAACTCTATCTATTTATGGGATGTTAAGACAGGATAATAAAAAGCCAAATTAGATGGTCATTCAGATTATGTTAATTCAATTTGTTACTCTCCTGATGGTACTACATTAGCATCTGGTAGTGA